AATCGCAATTGCTTATTCATGCTCATTTTAAATATATTTTTAAACATTTTCTAAATGCTTTTTTATATTTTTACAATTTTTTAATATTTTTTGTTTTTGTGAAGCGCCTCGTGATTTTTATCTTGAGAGGCGCTATATAAATGATATTTTCTTCTTCTTCTTCTTCTTATCTAGATTTGTGTGTGTAACTCTTGATTTGTAACTTGTGTTTACATTTTCATGTGTAACTTCAGTTCTTACACATCTAAATCATTGAATACACAAATAAAATCACCTTGTACACATGGACAAAACTACATTACACACAGATCAGTTTACAAGTACAAAAATCCTTTTGACGATATTTTCTCACCTGACTGATTTGTGCGTACATGGTGAGTTTGAATGCTGGGTGGAAACTGGGAAATTTGAATTTCCTTTGGAATTAGTCAAAATTTGTGTTGACGGGACAAATATGCTTTTCTGTGGAAAAATATAATATCTCAGGATCCTGTAGTTATGAAAGATAGACCTACATTTAATTTGTTATCATCTAAAACTGTTTATTCATCCCAGATGAGACCTGATGCTCAGGCCACCAAAACGGATGCCCTCCACACCTTGGCTGTGCATAGAAATCCTGTCCATAAAGGTTATGAACAGAATCGGTGAAAAGGGGTAGCCTTGGTGGAGTCCAACTCTCAGTGGGGACGAGATGCGGACCAAGCTCTGACACCGGTCACACAGGGACTTAACAGCCCGTATCAGAGGGCCTGGTACCCCATACTCCTGTAGTACCCCCCCACAGGGCCCCCCGAGGGATGCGGTCAAATGCCTTCTCCAAATCGACAAAACACATGTAGACTGGTTGGGTAAATTCCCACGCACTCTCCAAGACCCCCCTAAGGGTATAGAGCTGATCCAGTGTTCCACGGCCAGGACAAAAACCACATTGCTCCTCCTGAATCTGAGGTTCAAAAATCAGACGGACCCTCCTCTCCAGAACCCCTGAATAGACCTTACCAGGAAGGCTCAGGAGTGTGATCCCCCGTAGTTAGAACATACCCTGCGGTCCCACTTTTTAAATAAGGGAACCACCACCCCAGTCTTCCAGTCCAGTGGGACTGCCCCCGATGTCCACGCGATATTGCAGAGCCGCGTCAGCCAACACAGCCCCACAACATCCAGAGCCTTAAGGAACTCCGGGCGGATCTCATCCACCCCTGGAGCCTTGCCACAGAGGAGCTTTTTTACCACCTCAGTAACCTCAGCACTGAGCTGGTTAAAACCTTCATAACTATTTATAACTTGCTTTATATTTTGAAGACGTTGCAGACCCCTACAGTTCCATGAAGCAAAATTAAAGTTTACTCCTTGGGACAGAACTTGTGGAGAAAAAAATTATTTGGTTGCGTTGTGAACTGGAACAATCCTTACATATATGGCTAACATACAGTGATGCTGGAACAAGCATCCAACCATTGACATATATACTGGACAATTTGTTTCCATAGGCTCGAATTATAAGTTTTTGTGCCAAAATGGGAGGTGGCCACCACCGCCATTTTGACCATGTCACAGGTTCCATCAAGCCCAGACAATTCCAAAAAAGGGAAAAGAGGTGGAGCTGAGGGTGGGGCTGTGAGGCTGGGATCAAATGACGGCACCCGTCGAACTCAAGCGATGTAGCCACAAGCTAACACAAAGCTAACGCGGTGGTGGGAGCTAAGCTAATGGAGGTAGCTACCTAGCTACAACCGGAGTTAACTGTGCACAACACCGGAGCTTCTGAGTCAGAGATATGCCGGGCTGACTGCTGGGTAAAACCGGGTGGAAAAAAGAGGTCTCCCGAGAGCTCCACAAGCCGGCAGCCGCGCAGCAGACAGGCGCCGCTGCGGTCAGAGATGCGCCGAGCTGCCGTTGGGGAGAACCAGGTGGAAAACATCAGTTTGATGCTATACATCTTCATCTCCCCTCCCTCTGCCACACCTGGTGTGGAGTGTGGTGCCTTGGTCTGTCTGAGTGTTCGCGGCTCCCGGGTCAGGGGGTTTAAGATTTTTGGCGTCTGCCTGATCAATCTCAGTGGCTGCCTGGTCAGATCGGGGTCCCTGGGCTCTGCTGGGTCCACGGCGGGGGTGGTTGCCCCTTGATCCCGGGTTGCTGGGTCCCGGGTTGCTGGGTCCCGGGCTCGGCCAGCTGGGGGGTAAGAGGCTGCGGGCGGGCCTGTGGGCTTGCCGCTGATATCTCCTGGGACTCTGCCGGCTGCTGGTTGTGGCCCCCCGAGGCAATCCTCTGCGCCTCTTGAGGGGGGCAGGGGCTTTTCTGGTCATGGTCTCCTTGGGGTCCCTGTGCTCTGGGGCAGCTCCTGGATCTCTGGGACTTGGAGCTCCCTCCATCTCCTATGCATCTTTGGGGGGCAGATCTGTGGCCGCTCGCACTTTCTTTTGGACGCTCCTAGAGAGAAACCTTTCATATACAAGCGCGTGTACACACAGGTGCTCACATGGTGCTCTCATAAGTATGGACTTGGGCACATTCAACACATGTCTTAAGGCTGTGGTTGGCACTAAATGCACTGTGATTTGTTATCATGTGATTGTTCAGTAAAACAATGCTGATTTTACATTCCTTCATCAAGTTGATGCAGTGATAGCTTGCTCCTGCTGTATTGTTGTGTGTCCCTTCTCTGCAGGTCTAGAAGCAGAGTCTTGTTCATCATTGATTGTTTTCGTGGACACCCCCCCATCTCTTCCTTTCTCTTTCACCTCTGTCTCCGTGTCTGGTTGGAATTACAAAGCATTCAAAAAACAATAACAATAAAGTTTTAAGTATCAGGCGTGACAGAAACAGAACACGAGAAAAAAAAAAAAAAAGGAAATCGTCGGTTTCCATCCGAGAGCTCCATGTAGCGTTGGGAAGTTTATAATGGTCTGCCCTTAACAGCTGCCCCTTCACACAATAACACCGTGTGATCCTTCAAATCACAATATCCACAAGCCGGCAGCCCACGCAGCAGACAGGCGCTGCTGCGGTCAGAGATGCGCCGAGCTGCAGCTGAGGGGAGGGGACCATACCGATAGTCGGAACCCAGCTCCACCAGCATGTTATATTTCAACCCATTTTCAAAAATGCAGCGTTATGTTAAACGTACTGGGTTTTACACTATTACATTTAAATTTCATGGTTAAACAGTACATGTTAAAATCTAAGCTCAGCTAGTGCAAGAGCGCCAGTGACCTAAAATACATAAATATAATTTTACTTACCGAAAAAAATGAAGTGGAGACTTCTTGGATGCTCTATTAGTGCAATTAATTCCACAGCAAGTCATTTTGTCCAACAACTGCACAAACAATATCCAAAAAGAACGCATAAAGGGCACAACGAATGGTCTAAGTTGAGAGACTAAAAATTGCGCAACAGTTCTCAGGCGAGGCTGAGGCATTTCCTCGGAGCTAGCTCTGCGGTCACGTAGGTCTGATGATCATTAATTATTCAGAATTTTAGGCATTTAATACACTTAAACAGAAGAGTGACAAAAAATTCACCCCCCTCAGAGTTGTCATGAGTGTAAACTGGATCTATTAAACCTAAAACATGTTTTGGAACCAGGCTGTAAACATGTTTATTTCTACTGTGAATTTGGTATTTTTAACATGGGAGTCAATGAGGATTTGCTCGCTTCTGACACCAGCCCCCAGCGGATGAGGGTGGAACTGCATTTTTTGTCACATCCGTGTTGGCTTCATTTTCATACCAGTATTATGGGGGCTTGCGTCCAACATTCAAAAATAACATAACCCCCCTCCCTCTTTCCCTCTGCCCACAATGGTGGGTATCCCTCCCCTAACTGTTGGACCTCCGTTATCACTGAGACCGATCCACACTTGTGGGGATCAATCTTACCACTCTTTTGGTTCTTAACCTACTTCAAAAAAACACTGCTGCTGCTAAACCGTAGCTAATAGTTAGTCAAAACTCCTGCTCCTTTTAATTAACGCCCATTATATGTAACTCTATTTCCCATTTTTACTAATAATATAACATGTTATAGGCACTCTTGAGATAACTCAGTCACATTATGCAGTCCCCTTTTGTACATATATAATCCTTTAACTTGCTCTTTAGTAGTCAAAGTGTCAGTCGATTTATACAAAACATTCATCAATAGAAAGAGGAAAAGAAAAAAGAAAAACAACAACTTCAACAAAAAGGCCACTCGATTGGTTTTCTTTTGCATCCTACAAATCAATAAACTACTAACTTATAGGATTCCAACCTTACATTCCAACCATACTTCCGCACCCTCTGGTAGGTTCATGAGCCGTAGGTCATTCATATGTGACCTGGTTTCTAGATCCACAAATTTGTTCTCCATGGTTTAGTTTTTAGCTTGTACTAATTTTAGCTTGCAGGCTAACCAGCTCATCCTCTGCAGTGGAGATGCGTTCCTCAGCTTGCGACATACGTTCTCCGCAGTCGTTAATATCTTTCCTCACCTCTTGTAATGTTGTTGCCATATTATCCAGCCTTCATGCGAAGCCCGTTTCCATTGAGTGTATCTTTGCCAGTGTCTGGTCAGCTTTGGTACCCACGGGTTCATTTTCGTTGTCAGACTGCGTAGCCATGGCCTGGTTAGCTTTAGTTGCTTCACCTCGAAGACTACAGTCAAACAGGCTCGCTTGTTTAGTTGTTCCTCCTTTTCCCTTCTGTGACTTAATCGCATTAGGCGTTGTTCCGCAAAAACTTCCTGAATTTTAAATTATTAGTGAGCAGGAGAACGTTAGAATCAACTTAGCAGCAGAGCAAAAAAAAAAAAAAAAAAAAACACGTCCTCCTACATGGCCGCAATAACCGGATCCCTCAGCTTTTGTTTTTTACTATGAACTTTTACTATAAATGATCATTTTTTTTATCTGTCCTGAAAATAAAGTCATACAAATAAAAATACAACCTTTATCATTTTATATTCAGATTGACAGTAAATAATTAAACGCCCCTTATTTTTAGATAATGAAACACATTATGGAAAATCTGTTTAATTAAAATGAATAAAACTAAATGCAGCATTAATTAATGTGTGTGTGGTCCATTTTGTATAAAGAAAAAAGCAGCTTAGTTTCCTCCACTTCATCACAAAAGAACAAAAGCAATGGTTCAAACATTTTATGGCCAAAATACTTTTAAATAATTGAGTTTTTCAGCTGACAACCAAAAACAAAGAATATGACTAAAATATTGTATATTTTTAAAAATAATAATCAGTGTTATTTTGTAAATGTCCCAGTCTCTAAGTGACCCAGACCTGGAGGATCTTCTACAACACAGCCAGGAATCAGATGTATTAAATATGCACAAACATCCATACGATAAATGTTCTGTTGATGGTACAAAGCATCAGGCATAAGGACCACAACACCACAACATCAACAGGTCACCAGGGGGCATGTTTAATTGTAATCAGAACTATAACAACAAAGAAAAAAGATTCAATTCAATTAAAAAATACTTTATTAATCCCAGAGGGAAATTGATTGCTGTAGTAGCTCAGAATAATAATAATAATCAAGTCATCAAAGAGTTGTTGTACATTACAACGGCTGTTGGCAGGAAGGATCTCCAGTAGCGGTCAGTGTTGCAGCGAAACTGAAGAAGCCTCTGACTGAAGACACTCTTCCGTTGTCGGACAGTCTTGTGAAGAGAATGCTCAGGGTTGTCCATCATTTTCTTGATTCTCTGGAGAATCCTCCTTTGCATTATCTCCTCCAGTGGTTCCGAAACAGCCGAAACTCTGGCTGAGTCCTTGAAAGGGCTTGGCTCTATCATCAAGCCATACGACACCTCAACCACAACACCTAAACACACACAACACAGGACCCAGAAGCTACCCTGCAGCTTCACAAGTACTATATTTAATCCGTACTGGTCACTTCACTTTATTGTTATTGTAATTTATATCCAAAGTGCAACACTGTAATCTATATCCTGCATAATTTATATCCTGCAATACTGTAATTTATATCTAAAGTGCAATACTGTAATTTTCTGCAGCTCATTCCTGTGCAATATCCCATCTGCCCTCCCGTCATATTTCTTTTCAGGATTTTCTTTATTGACACATATATATTTAGTCATCTTTTCCCTTTTACCATGTCTCTCTAATATTTTGCTCCTTACTATATTTTTTTGCTTTATTTTATTATATTTTATTATATTTTCTCCTGTATCATGTTGCTGAGAGACCGCTGCTCGTCATACACGTTTCATTGCAATGTTGACCCTGTGCTAACTTGCATATGACAAATAAACTAAAACTGAACTGAAACTGAACTGGAGTTCCTCCATCTTGTTGGCCAGTGATCTCACATTGCCCATTATGATCGATGGCAGAGATGGTTTGAATTTCCTCTTTCTCTGTCTCCGTTTTGCTCCCGCTCTGCATCCACGCTTTTTACGTTTTAGCTCATTTGGGATTTGAGGCTTCAGTTGAGGTATTATTTCAGCCTTTCCAATGTTAATCAGCTGCTCTTGATGTTAAACCAGCTTGTTGCCATGGTTACGCATCATAACAAATGTTCAAAAAGTGAAAAAAGCTAAAAAAATAGCAGTAAAAATCCTCCAAGCTTCACAGCACCAGAAACAGAAAAGTAAAGTGTCCAACAAATACAGTTTTTCTTGAGAAACTAGAAGAAAAAATGTCCAAGAAAAGGCATAACTTACATATATTCAACAGAGCTACTCCAACATGCAGCCGCCCAGAGCAGCGCAGTTCCGGGGAAAAAAAAAAAATAATGATAATAATAATGGTCAGGGAAACGGAATCTGGCAGCATCAGCTTCCTTTGATGATGTCATAAAGGGGACAGTCCTATATAAAGGGCAAACATAAAGCAGGCACACAGACAGCTTCATTTGCAGATTGGTTTTAGACCTGAACAGACCTACAATGGCTACTGGTGGACCACACGAGGGAAACATGGAGGTATTTTCAGACATATATAAAGCTGAATTAGACCAAAGGTATGAGCTTTTACAAAGAGAATTACGAGATCTGGAAGTCAAAAAACTAGTTTTTGGTAACCAGGAACGCGACTTTGAACAAAGGGTGGATGCGTTTGAGAAAAACATAGCTCACATCAGGGAAAGTCTCCAAGAGGAAAAACAGAAATTGGAAACAAAAACGCAGGATCTAGAGAAAAGAGAATGCCACTTTGAGGATCAACAAAAGAAACTAACGAATCATGTTGATGAACTAACGACGAACTCTCAGAAAGGAAGAGATAATTTTGTTTCAACTCAGTTACTCGACGAACACAGAGTAAAGATTGAGCTGGAAAACAGGGAACTGCAGAAACAAAGACAAGAAATTCAAGATGAGTGGAATAAGATTAAAGAAACTCAAATTGCAAATTGTGAGATGGCCAAAAACTTGAATAAGACACAAGAGAAAGTCGGAGATTTATGGAAAGCTTTACAGGTAAGCAAAGAGAGATCAACAGAAGAAATTAATAACTTGAAAAGAGATCTGGAAAGACAGAAATTAGAGTTTATCGAATCTAAGGAACAAACAGAAAGGGAGTTAACTGCAGAAAAGCAGGCTCTCCGCGATGAGAAGGAGCGTTTAAACGCTGGTAAAATTACTCTACAGAACCAGATCGTTGAGTTTCAGACTGAATCAGAGCAGATCCGACAGATTCTGCTCAAAGACAAACTAGATGTTCAACTTCTGAGAGAAAATCTGCAGGAGGACAAATTGGAGGTAATGAAAACAGCAGAAGGGTTCCTGAAAGATTTCAACGAAAGTTTACAGGATTTGAAGGAGAATCTGGAAATTCTGAGTCTTGAGAAGAGAAGTCTGGAGGAAGAGAAACAACGTTTCCTGATGACCAAGTCAGAATCAGAGAAGGAACAAGGGAGGATTTACAAAATCCTCGAGGAAGAATTAGACAATTTGCATTTGGGAAAACAAAGTCTGGAAACACAAGTGATGGACTTTAGGGAAGAAATTGCTGCAGCAGGTAAGATCTTAAAAGAGAAGGAAACTGCTCTAGAAGAAGGGCTGGAGGGTCTGAGACTCCAGAGAGAAACTCTGGAGGAAGAAAAGACAAATTTCCAGTTAACAAAGTTCAGATCGGAAGAGGAGAATAAGGAAATACAGGCTTACCTCCAACAAGAGCTGAAAAAATTACGAGTTGGGCAACAGAGTCTAGACAAACAGATGATGGAGTCTGAACAGAGAGATGTAAATTCAGAGCAGATCATTCAAGACATTCAACGGGTTCTTCAGGAAGAGAGAGACTGTTTAGTAACGCTCCGACAAAACGTGGAGGAAGAGAAACAACGTTTCCTGATAACTAAGTCAGAATCAGAGAAGGAACAAGGGAGGATTTACAAAATCCTCGAGGAAGAATTAGACAATTTGCATTTGGGAAAACAAAGTCTGGAAACACAAGTGACGGACTTTAGGGAAGAAATTGCTGCAGCAGGTAAGATCTTAAAAGAGAAGGAAACTGCTCTAGAAGAAGGGCTGGAGGGTCTGAGACTTCAGAGAGAAACTCTGGAGGAAGAAAAGACAAATTTCCAGTTAACAAAGTTCAGATCGGAAGAGGAGAATAAGGAAATACAGGCAAAAGAGCTGGAAATATTCCAAATTAGGCAACAAACTCTCATCAAACAGATGACGGACTCTGAAGAGAGAAACATAAACTCAGAGCAGGTCATTCAAGACATTCAACGGGTTCTTCAGGAAGAGAGAGACTGTTTAGTAACGCTCCGACAAAACCTGGAGGAAGAGAAACAACGTTTCCTGATAACTAAGTCAGAATCAGAGAAGGAACAAGGGAGGATTCACAAATTCCTCCAGGAAGAATTAGAAAATTTGTGTTTGGGAAAACAAAGTCTGGAAACACAAGTGACGGACTTTAGGGAAGAAATTGCTGCAGCAGGTAAGATCTTAAAAGAGAAGGAAACTGCTCTAGAAGAAGGGCTGGAGGGTCTGAGACTTCAGAGAGAAACTCTGGAGGAAGAAAAGACAAATTTCCAGTTAACAAAGTTCAGATCGGAAGAGGGGAATAAGGAAATACAAGCAAAAGAGCTGGAAATATTCCAAATCAGGCAACAAACTCTCATCAAACAGATGACAGACTCTGAAGAGAGAAACATAAACTCAGAGCAGGTCATTCAAGACATTCAACGGGTTCTTCAGGAAGAGAGAGACTGTTTAGTAACGCTCCCACAAAACCTGGAGCAAGATATACTAGAGTTTATGGAAAAAAGGGAAGCAGAAACTCACCTTTTAAAGGAGAAACAACAAGCTCTGGAAGAAGGGGTTGAACTTTCGACTCAAGATGTAATTAATTCTTTAGAAGCGAGAATGGACGAAATTGACAGACATGTTGGACAATGTTTCCTGCTTCTTCAAGAGGAAGAGGGGCATTTAGGACAGATTGGGCAGGAGCTGGAAGCAGCATTTTTAAATGTCGAAGACGAGCTGCCACCTGTGGAGGACGAGTCAGACAGTCCCACAGCTGCGTCTGAAGATCTGGGGGAACTGAGTTTAGAAAAAACTGTGACTACCCAGGTACCCAGTGACGGGAACCCAACTCTTCACAGTCCTCATGATGATGATGATGTCAGGGAACTGAGTTTAGAAAAAACAAAGACAAATTCAGAAGAGGAGCATAAAGAAAAGTATGAATGCTTCCTAGATGAGTTCCAGTATTTAGAAGCTGGGAATCAGAGTTTAGAAGAACAGAAGATGGACTCTCAAGAGAACGAAAAAGATTCAGCCCAGATTCATCAGGAGGCGCAAACTCTGGCTGACCATGTCTTGGGAACTGGATACCTGTTAGGTACCCAGTACCTTGGTACCCAGCAATGGGTTAGAGGGCACTTGTTACTTGGTACCCGATACAGGGGCCCTGGCTACGCAGTATGTCCTCATAATGATGAAACACAAATGATTGAACTAAGGGAAGAAATGCAGAAAGCATATTTAAACGTCGAAGACGAGCAGCCACCTGTGGAGGACGAGTCAGACAGTCCCACAGCTGTGTCTGAAGATCTGGGGGAGCTGAATTTAGAAAAAACAGTGACTACCCAGGTAACCAGTGACGGGAACCCAACTGTTCCCAGTCTTCATGATGATAATGACGAGCTTCCAGAGAACCCCGGGCCTGCCCATGAGAGCGCTGAAGAAGACTGGGAAGCTGAAGAGCCAACGCCTTCTACATCTGGCCTAGGATCCAGCTGGGACTAATCCGACTTCTACTAGAGACGTCTTCTTCCAGAACACCAATGAAGATCAGAAAAGCATATAAAAGTGAAGTAGGGAGCTTGGCATGGGTTTAGATTTTTTTAAACTAGGAAACAGAGAATTTGAATCAGGAAAACGTAAAATTTTCAGAGAGAAGAAACTGAATGGGTGAGAGAGTAGATGCTGCAAACCTGCAGGAACAGGATTGCAGGCAGAGGAAATAATACGAGCAGCCAATCTAAATTTAGTAAGTAGTAACACACAGTAACACGAGGGATTAAACAAAGGCTCAAAGTTTAGAAGAGCAGAAAATTAACCTGTAGTTCTTCAAGAGCTTCTGCAGGAGGAAATAGGAATGGGTTAAAGATTTTAGCTCTAACAATTACGCTTATCAGAGCTTCTAGTTTCCGTAGACTAAGAGTCAATACCTTAGATGGGTTGGCTCTTGATTTAAAATGCCACTACATTAGAGAGTATTTACACTATGTGTCTAGGATGTAGATTCTTCCACCACCAGGTACTAAAATACAAACGAAGAAAAAAAAACGCAGCACAGGTTACATCTCAACCGATCAAATCATTTCTGTGTCTTCCGTGTGCTGCGTGGGGGTTTTCTCTGGGTGCTCCAGTTCACCCCCAACACAAAATCCTAAAATCCTGACACGTTAAGCCTAATTTATACTTCTCCGTCATCGCCACGAGGGAGAGGTATGCTCGCACGGATGGAGACAATTTGCCCTCAGACTTCTCCGTCTCCTGGGGAGTGTTGCAAAGCAATTCCCCGCTAGGACATTTAACCCTGAAAATAAGTGGGGCCGACTGGAGCTATCCGAGCAAGGCCGACCAGGTACAGATGGGAATGGCCCATAAGAGTCAATACCTTAGATGGGTTGGCTGTTGATTTAAAATGCCACTACATTAGAGAATTTTTACACTATGTGTCTAGGATGTAGCTTCTTCCACCACCAGATACTAAAATACAAACGAAAAAATTACCAAAAAAAACACAGCACAGGTGACATCTCAACCGATCTAATCATTTCTGTGTCTTCCGTGTGCTGCGTGGGGGTTTTCTCTGGGTGCTCCAGTTCACCCCCAACCCCAAATCCTAAACTCCTGACACGTTAAGCCTAATTTATACTTCTCCGTCATCGCCACGAGGGAGAGGTATGCTCGCACGGATGGAGACAATTTGCCCTCAGACTTCTCCGTCTCCTGGGGAGTGTTGCAAAGCAATTCCCCGCTAGGACATTTAACCGTCTCAGGCTCAAAATAAGTGGGGCCGACTGGAGCTATCCGAGCAAGGCCGACCAGGTACAGATGGGAATGGCCCATAAGAGTCAATACCTTAGATGGGTTGGCTCTTGATTTAAAATGCCACTACATTAGGGTTGTAGCGAAGCCTCGACGAAGTCGACGGCTCGATTCTAAAAATTTGTCGACGTCAGATCCAGAAGTCGACGCACCGCGCCCACTTGTTGCATCCCCAGGAGTTTGTAAATAGAGGAGGAATCTGCCCGTTTTTCCTCTAGTTCGCCCTCTTCTCCGCCTTCACTAACATCTCCGCCAAATACCGAAGACACGGAACAACGTCCGTCCACTACTAGATTATTTTCCTGTTTTGCCCCTTCGTCTCCTGGCAACGGACAACAACTTCCGGGGTCAGATGCGCTGCTTCGTGTCTATCGCAGATGTAGAAAATCACCGGGAGCGCTTCTCCCTTCATTAAGCGTTGGGATAAGCTGTTACGTTTTGGTTTAGAGTTCATCTTTTTTGTGGTGTAGATCTCCCTTTTATTACATTTAGAGTGTTGTGGGTTTTCGGTTTAGTGTAAAATATCACCTGAGTTTGGTTTAACCCGTAACACCACTCGCCTCACGCACATAAGTGACCAAAACAAAGCAGCATGGAGACACTCCATCTTCTACCACCTCTCAGGCAGCAGCCTGCACTCCCAAGTTCTACACGTCACCAGAACATAACCAACCGCAACACAATAAAAGCAGTGTTATACAGAATGGAAGGCCTGTAGTGTTTATTCTCTTACAGTAAGAATTTATCAATTTTTTTGAGGAATTTATTTGAGATTTTCTGGTTTTTGTTAATTGAGCAATAGAAAAATAATCATTAGATTAATTTTCTATTATTTTTCTAAATAGTCATTAGAATAGTCGACTATTCGATAAAATAATCGTCAGAATAATCGTTTTAAAAATAATCGTTTACCCCCAGCCCTACACTACATTAGAGAATTTTTACACTATGTGTCTAGGATGTAGCTTCTTCCACCACCAGATACTAAAATACAAACGAAAAAATTACCACAAAAAAAATGCAGCACAGGTGACATCTCAACCGATCTAACCATTTCTGTGTCTCCGTGTGATGCGTGGGGGTTTTCTCTGGGTGCTCCAGTTCACCCCCAACCCAAAATCCTAAAATCCTGACACGTTAAGCCTAATTTATACTTCTCCGTCATCGCCACGAGGGAGAGGCACGCTCGCAAGGACGGAGAAAATTTGCCCTCAGACTTCTTTGTCTCCAGGGGAGTGTTGCAAAGCAATTCCCCGCTAGGACATTTAACCCTCTCAGGCTCAAAATAAGTTTTGATAAAAGGACGAACAACTAAATCCTTCAGGGGTACTTCTGAGTTAAAAATGCTCACGAAACACGTATGTGGAGTAACCAGGTACGTAGGCTTAAACGTTGCAAATCTTCAACGCCTGCCTCCAGAGGGTTTAAACACGATGAAAATATACTTCCTATCAAACATCTCACATCAATCCAGTTAATTTAATAGGTTTTAAAGATCATTGTCACAGTTCTGTCATGGATCTGTATTTCTCTACAATTAACTCATCATGTTTTGCTCCACTGAGCTTGTTGCAGGTGGGCGTGTCGGAGAGTCTCAGCTGTGGCTGATTTTCCCATCAGCAATTCAATTCAGTTTAATTCAAGTTTATTTATAAAGCGCCAAATCACGACAAGAGTCGTCTCAAGGCACTTCCCACAGTAAACATTCCAATACAGGTCAGGGGTCTCATTTGTCAAACATTGCGTAGAATCCTTACTAAAACCGTACTTAAGCTCAGCAAAAAAAAAGTACTTACCCCAAGTAAGTTTGTGATCTATCAAACATGGAGTACGCAGAGCTGCACGCAATCTCCGCTTCATAAATCAGAGACTAAAGAGAATGTTTCTCAGCTGCATTTTAGTCACATCCTGCCCTCACCACGCCCACTTACTGCCATAAATAGTCAATGCAAAGTGCCTTGTGGATCTCATGCATATACATAAGCCAGCTGTTGCAGCGTTCCGCCAATGACGATGGCGACCGTAGATCCAGGCAGATCAAGGAGGCGCAATTTCACAGAAGCAGAAATTGAGGTACTTGTGGGTGAGGTGGAGAAATGAAAGGAAGTGCTTTTGCAAAACAAATAAGAGAAAATCCACTGAGTGGCACAGTGTTGCTGAAGCCTTCAATGCTGTGAATTCTTCAGAGAGATCTGTGGCGGATACAAAAAAATGGTCCAATCAGGATTTGATCCCCAGACTCCTGAGTGAAAGTCACACAGTCTAACCAGTCAGCCAGGGCGCATGATCAATCGGGTCACAGTGACAGGACACGCACTGTCACAGACGCATGACATTCTGTCTCAATCTGCCCCCCTGCTGATATTCTGCATTCCGTATTCTGCGCATCAGGCTGTGTGCGCGCGTGCGTGTGTGTGTGTGTGTGTGTGTGGGGGGGGGGGGGGGGGGGGGGGGTCTTGTCTGTGAGAAAACGAAGCGGTAAAAGAGATAATACTGCTGGATTTCATAATTGTATCTTCTCAGCAGCAGCACTGCAGGTGCTGCCCATGTCCAACATGTGCATAAGCCAGGTCCTTAGTCAGCTTAAAGTTGCACACATTTTTCCGCTACGTTTTCTTTCATAAATCCTAAAGTTTGTGTGGAAAGTTGCTTACGCAGTTTTCCAACCCCGTTTTGTGCGTAAGCAAGCTTGATAAATGAGGCCCCCGTTCATTAAGCCAATCAGTAAAAAGTTTCCTATACATACCAAGCAATGTTTCTATAGTTACATTGTGATTTCTTAGTAAATGTGCGTAATCACCACTCTGGCACAGGTAGAGGGTCTTAAATGCATTTTAATGAGTACTTAGAGATTGTTCTGTTTTTCTGGCACCAGATGACGGTTGTTTCATGCAGTGGCAGATTTAGCAATTTGGGGGCCCAAGGCGAACACAGACATGGGGCCCCTTACACAAAATTTTTGACAATCTTACCTTTAACTGGATTTGCGAAACTCTCCCCTCTTCTGACATGAGTTATTTTCCCTTTTTATTAGTCCTCCTCTTTTTTCCTGTATTTCCCTCCCTTTGAGCGCTTTCAATATTTGCTCTGCTTTCTTTTTCCTGTCAGTGCTCCTGTGCTTTTGCCTTTGTTTTTTTTTCTATTTTCCATTTTGGTCTGTGTTTTCCTCCCTTTAAACATTTTCCATTGTCTTTCCTTTCTGCTTCCTTTTGATGATTACATCGAAAAACTACGTCACTTTCAGAAGTGAACATAAAAGCTTTTATGAAGCATGCTGCTTCTTTCTCTTATTGGAGCCATTAGGATAACTCAGTTTCATGCTTAATGTTTTGGCTATCGCTTTGAGTTTGTTAAGAATGCTCCCGCCTCTCTTCTTATTATTTGTGGTCTTATGGCACTTGGCAAACAACAATTTGGTGCATTACCGCCACCAACTGGATTGGAGTGGAATGACTACCAATCACTTCCTGTTTGTGCATCGGTGTCTTAATAACCCTCTTATGACCATAATTATAACAGGGCCGTCTGGTATTTTTTTAATCTTATGGCTTTAAAATTGTAATAAAAATTGCAAACAAAGTGTGTGTAACTCTTCTCCTTTTTTCAGAACAACCTCAGCTTTCAGTGTATGGTTTGTATTTAGAATTTATTTGTATTAAAGCCTTTAAAAAATCAGCTTAAAGGTGAAAAAAGCAAAAAATGATTAGAATTTTTTACATTTATTACTGAACAGGAACTTCAAAATTACTGGGCAAACAATTTGGAATGAACACTTTAAACTTTGAACTGTACTGCATCTATTCTTAAAAAAGTTTAAACCTTGGTATCTTTTTTTGTAGCAGTTTTTAAGACCATTTATTTTTGTAAACTTTCAGACGTTTTTATTTGATGTGGTAGACCTTGAAACAGTTTCTCTCCAGCTGCAGGCAGAGTCCTGCACACCTCACACTGCCACCGTACACTACTATACCAAAAACTTTTGTTTTAGCAAAAATAATTATTTATTGTAAAAATATAAATAATGCTAGAATGAAGCTGAATCTTACAATTAGCAAATAGTTGAGGGTTGTTCAAATAAAAAAAATAAAAAATAAAGACTGAGCAAACATTCATACCCTGGTTCACTGGAGATCTGTCCTTCTTCGTGGTCACTGTCTTCAGATATAAGCCTTCTGGGACACCTAATAGATCGTGTTGTTTTTCTTTGAGGCATTTCCATAATTTCATGCTGGCTTTTTATGCTAATTAGCTTCCCCGTTCCGTTATCCACTTTCACCGCTGAGCTGTGCTCCGTTTCAATCAGGCTGTACAGCAGGATTTCCCCTTGTAGCGATATTTTTCATAACTCTGATTGCTTCATGCTATAGATAGTTGGAAAGCTGCTTTTATGTACTTTTAGGAACCGTTGGAATATGTTGAATCTGATCAGCCATTGAATATTTATAAAACGGAGCATTTTGGATGACAAACTCAGCACATCTCTGAATCTGTGTTGTGATTCGTTGTGCTCAAGACAGGGAATGCCGTTGGCTACCGTAATGCATTGTATATGCACGAAAAGCCCCATTTTTAATCTTTTCAGCACTTTTCGAAATTTAAAGGGGCATTATGGAAGTTTGACAGCCAAAACATGTATAGAAATAAGAAGTTTCTTCTTAATACATTCTCCTGCAATGCCCTGGTCCTGTAGAATGAGCCCTGGCATCTTTATTGTGATTGCCTATTTTTCTGTAAAATCGCAGAAAAAGAGCTGCTCGGGTCGCGCAGGCTGCTTCATGCGCGTTCACGCTCAGGCATAGCCCTCCGAACCGTTCTTTGAAAGTTGTTTCAGCTGTCATCAAGGATATAAATGTTACAGATGAAGAAGTTGCCACTGGCGATTTAGCTCGCCTAGTAAATTGTTGGGCTTTTGTGCAGAAGACCCAGGGTCGATTCTTGATGTGAACATAGTTGCTTCAGAATTTCAATTTTACAATAATTATTTTTCTTTTTTACAGTAAGATGCCCAAATTTTTATTTGAGACTCGCCGAACGGCATTGAATTCACAGCTGGGGCAGCAGTAGCTCAGGTGGTAGAGCGGGTTGCCTCATGATCGGAGGGTCATGGGTTCGATTCCAGCTCCCGCCAGGGGTATCCTGCTGTTGTGTCCTTGGGCAAGACACTTCACCCAACTTGCCTGTGTTAGTGGTGGTCAGAGGGGCCGACGGCGCCAAATGGCAGCCTCGCCTCTGTCAGACCTCCCCAGGGCGGCTGTGGCTACAAGTAGCTTACCATCACTAGCAGTGTGTGAATGTGAAAGTGTCTTTGGGTGTCTAGAAAAGCGCTATATAAGTTCAATTTATTATTATTATTATAAAAAGTTGTGGCTTCAACTTTCATTTTGAAACAATTTTTCAAGTAAGGGAATGGAATTATCTGAGCATGCAGGAGAACTGACCCATCATAAACCTTTGCTGAAGAGAAAAGTACAGAACCAAACTATTTAATAAATTTGCTGCGTGTTCTCCTGTCCTCCGGGACACACACACACAATCACGCACACATGCACACACACGCACAGACAGAGAGAGATATTCGTCCATGTACATCAACTCTCATTTCCGTGAATGGTTGCGGCTGCGTGCATCCCAAATCTCCGTGCAGTACCCAGCTGCGAGGAAAAATTCCCCTTAACAAATATCTGTCCTGACACGGTCACGTTTTCTGCTGAATCACTCACGTGCTGCTTCCTGCTTCCGAGCAGCAGACGAGGGTTTTATTTAGGTATGAGAGCTGGGATGACATCACTCCCCGTGACAAAGTGCTCCCAGCATTCCCACAGGGGTTGACAGCAGTGAGGAGGTGAAGATAAGCAGCTAAAGTCACCCAGCATCCATCAACACAAAGCTAGAGAAAGCTATTTGGTTTCTGCTGCAGACACACAGCAGACACGTCTTATCACAGCACTGT